TATTTTGATAGTTCATTCTATTAAACAATGTATGCACAAATAACTTTGAAAGGGAATTACTTAAAATCATGTTTATCTTGACTTTAAGAGTACTGTACTTTCACTTTCCAATAACTTGAAATGTCCAATTTGAATGAATGACCCCTCATTTTAAAGATCACATGTTCAGGTATATGAAAATACCAACAACTTGAATTTCAATTTTTGCTACAACTTGGCCATTTTGCCACAACATGCCTCATTTTTTCTGGCCGGAAGCGCCATTTTCCAAATTATAATCCACATACAGCACGACATTATACGACGAGCCTCAAACATCATCGATGGTAACGAATTAAAGAATAATAATTTAATTGGCACAATACGGTATGCATCTTTACTAAAGAAAATACGTAGTCATAATATGATACACACAACCAATAACGTTCAGTACCACAATTCCCATTTACCTTTGGGCAGCTCCCCCTCCCCCAGTCGGCGAAGCCTACCCCAACCTCGTGTCATGGAAAAAATAAAATTTGTCATAGAATTTTTTTATATAAAAATAATAAAATTTTGTGTTAATAATGAGATTCTTTATTCAAAAAGGATAATTTGATAGAAAACCATACAAGCTAAGAGATCCACTGTCGGGGGGTACTAACCCTTTGTCGGAGGTGCCAGCCCCCCTACCTCCGAAGAGCTGGCTCCACCACTACAACCCATACGCTCGCAATAGTATACAACACCTCGCAAACAGCTTTTAATACCTAAAAGTTGACAGCTTTAGTAAGGCATGCTTGAACTTTACTTTCGGCGCTCGAGATTTGATTTTCAAAGATAGGGGGTTCAAGTTGGGGTCCAGAGGTTCGCGACGGGGGGGAGGGGGTGGGGATGGGTGATCCCTCCTAACGCCGCCCCTGCTGGGTAAAGAGAGGTAAGTTCAGGTATTAGTGCTTTGCCCATTTCAGAGGTGGCACCAGTGGGTGGGGGCGGGAGCCAGGGCCCCGTCGGGGAGAGCCTTTTCCCCGTCGGGAAGCAAAACCACAATTTGTCAGGGGAAAAAAATAATTATATGTATTTTGTACATTAGCAGACTCTAAAATCGATTAAATTTATAAGCCTTTAAAACCCCTAAATTGTCAAAATTTTCGAAGGCTTCGCCCCCTGGACCACGTGCGAAACATTTTGAGCAAAGCTTGACCAAGCCCACTTTCCTCTCGTCGGGGAAATCATCCTCCTTGTCGGGGCATCGCCCCTCCCCCTTCGGGCACATCGGACCCTGTCAGGCAAATCCTGGCGCCATCTCTGTAAACATTCACACGTTCGAAACCCCGCAACCAAACTGATAGCCTAAACCGCAGTTGCCGTTTCAAACTCCAAAATGTGATTGTTAACAAAGTTAAACATTATGGAATTATAGTCCTATATAAAATATACGTTATTTATTGTTTTAACAGCCGGCATTGATACTCAAAACGTAACTCTACTATGGGCCATTGCATGTGTGGTTGATAACCCGGATGTGCAGGAAAAAGTCAAGAAAGAAATTGATGACCTTATTGGCGACAGACCTCCAAGGCTAAGTGACCGTGGAAAGTTGCCGTATACAGAGGCTACCATCATGGAGATAATGCGATATAAAACTGGGGCACCACTTACCCTAACTCACAGAGCAATGAAAGACTCGAAAATTGGTATGGTAGAAGAAAACGCATAATCAAAGATACTAGAAACACAATATAGAACTCTCCACATAAAAATAAACTGTAGCACCGAAATACATGGTATGAATACAAAAAAAAATAGGGAGCCGCGTACGTTAACACAAATAAATCACAAACTAATTAGGCCTAAATCAAAAGAATAAAATTAATGTCAAAAAGAGAAAAGGGGTAGAATTTTCGGAAGGAATTCCGAATAGTGATAGATTTTTCATCATTATAACAAAGTGAAGGGTGCCGTCGCGTAGGGCAGGATATGCATAAAATCCGCGTAGGGCAGGATATGCATAAAATCCATGACCTACATCCGCATCACGTTTGCTATGCGACAGTTCTATCTTGTGTTTCCAGTGGCGGATATAGGAATTTGAAATACAGTAGAGGGGGCCCAGAGGGGGACTTTGACAGATGGTGGGTCTATTACCTCACCCCTACCATGGTTGGGGCTGAGGAAAATAACATTTAATATTATGGCACCGTTATACTAAAAAATTCGAGTAGAATTTTCTTTTTCTCCCATTTTTTTTTTTTTTTTTTTTTTTTTTTTTGTACAAAATTTCAGTGAGATTTAACTCTTAGCAAGCTCTGATCTCATCAGGAGTATTGTTAATACTAGGCCAAATTCGATCTATCACTTAGGCCTATGAGTACCGTAGTGGTTCTGGAGTCAATTGATGGTTAGAAACAGGATGTTAACCAAATGCTAAAATAATTACACTTTTTTTTTTTATAAGAACACATTTTATAAGAACACTGAAGCTGAAATTACTTAAAAATTAAGAACAAAATAAGAACAAATTGAGGCTGAGGTAAAATGTCCAATGAGATTTTTATTTTTTAAAAACAAGAAAAACCAAAAAATATATCTGTACTGCACCTTATGTGCAGTAAGTGTGACTAAATACCCTCTATAATATAGTACAGGAGGTATAAATACCTGCTTGTCATATGGGGCCGTTTTTACCGGGGCCTTTTTTCTGGGGACGTTTTTTCAGTGGCCTTTTTTTCAGGGCCAGTTTTTCCTGGGGCACTTTTACCTACATTCCAGTACAGTGTACAGTATACTGGTACAATAATACATTTGTATGTTTGAAAAGTGTGTAACATAAGAACAAAATAAGAACATTTTTAGCCTGAAATTGGCCACAAAATAACACTGAGCCTGGGCAAAATTTTACTGGTTCTTATAAAAAAAAAAAAAGTGTATATCTCAAAGTATTACACAGGTCGGCTTCGTGCTTTAATATCGATGGCCAATTGTGTGAATATACAATGAAGACGAGAGAAGGCATCTATAGAGCTGTATTAATCGTAATATGTATTATTGTTATATATTTGCTTTTTAGGCACTTACAATGTACCTGAAGACACGTGGGTCTTTATTAATCTCTGGGCGCTTCATAATGACCCAAAATATTGGAACTCCCCCGAGAAATTCAAACCCGGTAAGTTGCACCTACGTGTTTCTAAGTGATAGCAACATCGTACTTTAATAATATATTATATTGTATCAACTGATTATATTTAAATATGAAAAGACTATACTTTAAATAAAAACAGAGAAATGCAATTTATGTTCAATTTAGTGATTTTATATTTAATTCTTTTTATAGAAAGAATATAAAATACATTATACAACAATCGCCTAATGTTTTTTAATAAGGTTTCACAATTAGATGATTATTATTAAGTAGAAATATATTATTTTAAAGAAAAATCAGTTATTAGAGCTATACTAAAGTTTTTTTTAAAATTTATTAGGAACATTAATAAGCATGCACTCTGTATCTCAAATTGCATTGGCAAATCTAATAACTCTCTTATAAAATTTACATTACACTTATTTTTTTTATTTTCAGATCGATTTTTGGATCCATCCAACTCTGTTAAGCAACGTCTACCGAGCTACCTGCCGTTCTCCACTGGTCGCAGAGTGTGTGTTGGAGAATCTTTAGCTAAAGCTAACCTTTTCCTTACATTTGTGTGGTTAATTCAGAATTATAAATTCACTAAACCATCAAGTGTAAGGGGACCAGTAACTACCGAGGGAAAGCCTCAGCTTATATCATTCCCAATGCCCTACAAAATCAGGGCTGAACGTTGGGAGTAGAACAGTGATTTTTAAGTTTTTAAGTCATCTACAGTGAGTCTGTGGCCGGCAATTGGGATCGTCACAATTATGGACTGTCAGTTAATATATCAATCAAAATTGACAACTGGCCAACAAAACTATATGCTAGGAATACGTTTTAGTCTTACTGATTTATGTTCGTTTTAGTACGTTTAATTAGGCTGTCATTTTGTGACCTTTTGACACCAGTAATGGACCTTTTTCGGAGTGTCAATCAAACGTAACAAATCATAGCAGAGCCAGAAACACGCGCATGTCCCAAACATCCGCGGATCCACGGGGGTTCAAGGGGTTCAGACGAACCCCCCTCTGTGAAGAAATTAACAAAATACAAGGGTCCTGGCTCACAAAAAGCATGTTAATCTACCTAGGCATAGGTTGGAAGGTCAGACAAACTAGGCTTAGCCCAACTAGTTTTCAATTAAATAAATTATACACACTGTTTTGGTTCGCTGTCGTAATAATGTACGAAAGTGAGTTCTTCAGTCCTATCGGTTCATCGATCCATGGAAGAAAGACTACATATCTAACTACTCAATGTTCTTGGAATACAATAATATATTGCCTGTCTTAATTTTTCCTCAATGATAGGCCTAACGAATGAGATAAAATTCCCTGACCTTTTTTTTAAGAGGGGGAAAACCTTGAATTTTGAAGAACACCGGCCATCTAGGAATCAAATTTCATTTTGGGGTTTTTTGGAAACATTTTGAATCCTCCTCTTTTAAATCCTGGATCTGCCCCTAGTTTACACCGTGAGTTTGTGGGACCTTAGTGGAACTTATCGGAACCGTTCAATTTACCTGATTTTTTTTTTTTTTTTTGCGATCCTCAATCACAACATAATTCAGACATTGATTGTTAACTGATAAAAAACAGACTTTTATAGTATTTTAAATATTTTAGTATTATGAAGAACAATTACAATTGATAATCGATAAGATAACATTAGCCCGAATGTTGTGTTGTGTAATCAGAATGGGAAAATTGTATAACCCTATTGTGGAAAAGTATACCAAGCTGTCCATTCTGCAAAATTTTAACTATAAAAAGCACTTTAGCTATTTGAAATAAAGGAATTTATAATAGGAACTTAGTAGAAGAGATATAAATTCACATTACTAGTATTTGTTTAGAAAAAAACAATAATAATAATTGATAAGCATACACCAGTCAATTACATAATTAAAAAATTGAAAGTTATCGTGGCTAAGTATGGCGTTTACAGGCATATATATTATAGTAAAACACTTTTATTATATTATTTTAGAAGCCTTCAAAACCTTTTCTCAACAAGCACTTTGTATGGTTTTGGGATATGGATAAGTCCTGAATCTGCTTGTGGTTCGGCGGTTTTAACGTTCTCCATATCTGTTGGCTTCACAAACATGAAAGTTTGGAAAAGCCATGTAAAAATGAGAAAAATCTCGGACTTGGCAAGACTTTCACCCAAGCAAACACGTCTACCAGCGGAAAACGGTAGAAAACTATCGGGTCTTTCCACTTGGCATTTTTCATCACTAAGAAACCGCTCTGAAATAAAAAGTTTATCATTATGTTTTTCTCGGGCAAACAATATAAATTCTTTCGATATTAAAACATTTTACAGTATATCAATGCTTGACCTTCGAAGTATTTGTGATAATGATTTCACGATTAGTTCAATACAGCATTATGTTTGCAGTAGGATTGTTTTAAAAGATATATTAATAAATTAAAGAAAAAGTTTCAAAAAATCCCTACCTGGTCTGAACTCATGGGGGTCTTCCCAATGTCGTTCGTCGTTATGAACAGCATACAGATTGATCAATACCCAAGTATCTTGCGGAATTCTGTAACTACCTTTACGGAAAAAAATTACAATCATTCTGATAGTTCAATAAAGGTTTACAGTGGTAAAATGTATAGGCGCTGTACCAATAAACGTCATTGAAAACTGTAAATAGGCCTGCATTAAGGTGTGTACTATCACAAATTCCTACTAACCACGTCTGTATAGTTTTATTTTATCCGTCAGAATGTTTATACTATCTTGTGGATCATATCGCTAAGATTGTCATAGCACACTTATTGCAAAGGCCCAATTATTGGACTATTCTATGTATACAGTACATAGTTCTAGTGATACTCATTTCCTAAGGGGGAGTATTCCGTCATGAGGTTGAAGTCTAGTAGTCTTTGCATCATTGGTAAAGCAATCCTATCAGGCATCCAATTAAACCCGTGTATATAGGCGGCATGGATATAGCGCACTTACGAGGACGCCAACCCCTCCCACATCCTTATCACATTGTTATCATCCGTCACAATTAGCGACATAATTTGTATTATCGCAACATTATTCTCATAAAAATGTATTACCTTCATTGATATTTTTGATCATCCATTTGGCTGTCAATTAAACTAAGAAAACAAAGTATACTTCCATAATTAGAACAATTTTTTTGAAGCATACATAATACGCAGCCTTATTAATATTATCATCCTATTAAACAAAATTCTCTACAGTTGTAATCACCACTCCATAACATAAAACACATGTTGACCATCATCTTTACAACAGAAACGTCAATATTATCTCAGGCTGCTTTCCAAACAACATTAGTCAAGTTTAATAAAAAATAATTTACCGAATGTACATTCAGAGATGGTTCGATGTGGCACTGCAACCGGCGCAACAATTCCGTACCGCATAATTTCGTAAATAGTCGCCTGAGTATAAGGTAATGAACCACGGTCATTCAGATTTGTTGAACGTGTTCGTCCAATTACTTCATCAATCTCTGCCTGGACCTTTGCTTGGACATCGGGATGGTCAACTAAAGTTGCAATGCTCCAAAGAAGAGTAGTAGTAGTTGTATCACTTCCAGCTAAAAGAGAGAGAGGGGGAGAGAGAGCGAGAGAGAGACCGTTGCATAGATTTGATTCATACTTCAGACGCAAGAACTTTGTGTAAGTACTTGGATCTTCTGCAAACTTTTTCAGAGCAACGACCATATAATTAAACACAAAAACAATTTTGGCCCTCAAAATGTGAAATTGCGCAATGTAAGAACTAAAAATCCACTGTCCTCTGCTGGGCCGGTCACTTACCGCCAAATATATCAGACAGTGTTTGTACAAGATAATCGTCAGAAAGATCTGCTATGTTGTCATTCCCTTCTTCAACAGCTTCCTGTTGTGCAGCAAGAACAAAGTCCGTCAAATCCTTAATCTCATCTGCAATGAGAATGTATTCATTTTTGAAAATTATATCAAAAGGGATAATGGTGTAGGGGTTGCCTGAAGACGTCAATAAGAACCTCGATTCTCAATTATTTGGCTTAAACCTTTTTACGCCTCGCATTCATCTGCAAGAGCATTGGTAATTAATAGTTAATTTAGTTGAGATCGGCAGACCTGGTAATGAAAAACGGTCGCAGCATCCCCCAACCCCTCAAATAAGGTTTAAACTAGGCTAGGCCCTGGTAATTAAAACTACAACGTTAGGTGCTATTTTACATACCCGGATTAAAGTTGTCTTGGTGCCGCTTAAACTCTTTTCGGATCATAGCAAGGTATTCTGAGAAGAGGTTTTGAACATTTCTTAAGCCAGGTGTAGGAATATGCCTTAGACCGGGAATGTAGTCTGCCATCAAACCCTCACCAAACACATCAGTAATGTTCTCCAACATGTTCATCAGTTTTTTGAAATCTGGGTCATCAAAATCATATCTATTAAATCATAATGACATAGAATGAAATGAAAAATACTAGAATAACATAAACACACAACGATAATGCAACAAAATATGTTAACGGCGACAAAAATACATTCATCCAAAATCTTATTTAAATTCAAAGCAAGAACTTGTGATTACATTGTTCAAAGTCGTTTGTACTGTAAGCCTATGTCTCTAGCCTACATGAAATACTATCATTCACTTTTGATACGAAAAGATACAATATAATATTTGCGTTCATCACACGCAATCAGGTCCACAGGAACAACACGCGTAAATAGCTTAAATGTAGGCCAAAATAATGCAGACATTTATATATTATAATCATTAGATATTACAATCATTAGGCCTATCTGTTAAATAGAAAAAAAGTAGAGTACGTGTGGTGGGTGAGTGTGTTGGGACTAATGTATCTTATTGAAAAAGGCAACCAGGAATAGGCCTATACAGTATTATGTCATTCAGATGCGTACAACCTGTGCCAACGGACGTCGGCTTTTGCAGTTCTACCGAGAACTCACTGCGACGATCCGCTCAGAGTGCCACCGACAATTATTAGTAGACGGCATCGCGTCGTCAAGCGCTCAAAGAGAACAAAGTTGATGGGCATGCAGTGTGTGCTAGGCCTTATAGATATGCCTTGAATGGGGTGCCGGACTTCCAATATCCCGAAATTTTCGTAGATCGTCTGTGGCTATATTCCACTACATAACACACTGAACCACACTGTGTTCACAGTGTGTCTGTTTAAACACACTGTGATTTCTTGGTGCAACCAATGACCGGGCCAGACGCTGTCTCTTATACACATCTAGATGTGTATAAGAGACAGCAATTTAGGAGGTTTAAATTCTACTAATAGGTCTGTGTACAAAATACATATATTTTTTTTTCTCCCCGACGAATTGTGGTTTTTCTCCCCGACGAGTAAAGGGGGATGCGGGGCAGGGGGAAGCTCTCCCTGACGGGGCCTTGGCCCCTAGACCCTCACTGGCACAACCCCTGAACATATTCGCAAACTAGACATTTAGCAACCGCCACAAAGTTACGAAAAGTTTGGGTGACAAAAAGTTGGCCACAATTAGGCACACCTGGAAAGGCACAAAAAATGTTAAACAATGGGTAATAATGAGAATATGAAAATGATGATGGTAGGCCTACTTCTGATAATGATGATTTGTATTCTGATTTTACTTACTCAATACCAAAACACATACTGGCCAATATGTTGTAGACACCATAGCCTATTATTAGTTTAGGATCAAATGCTGAATTGCCCTTTTCTGAGAGTGCTGCATCTAATTTTGGCTTAATACCATCAACCAATTTTTCAAGATGACTTCCGCTTGCATAATTCCTAAACAAAGACAACAGTAAAATACATTTTAAAAATTATTTACATAGGCAAATTGGCCTATGCAAGTGCAGAACTGTAATATTCTAAAAATATTAATAATTAATATTAGGTCGCCCTATAGCTCTCCGTATTAGACGTCGTAACGAATACAAATTTCGTTCTCACCCCTCTCTCTCCCCTTCGTCTACTTTTTGAGTGTTAACAATGCACATTTTCTTACTAAAATAAATTGTGAAACAGCGCTCTTGTTCCCGTCGGTTTTAGAACTCCCGGTTCCGCCCCTGAATTATTAAATCTATTTGTTTACCTTATTGCAGCACTTGCAAGCTTACGATGAAGCTTCCAGATTGGACTGTAGTCCGAAAACACAATATCCTTGTAGTTATCAGTCATTAATTCAGCTTTTATAAGATCATTAAAGAAAAAATTGTAATTTCTATCATTCTTGTAAAAGTCACAGGGGATACAGTATGCCTAATGGGATATGATAAAAATATAAATAATAAAAACAACAGGTTAAAGTATAACACGAATAATCTTGGTCTTTTCATGTTTGTATAGAAAAAAATATAATTCCCTTTAAAGTATATGACTGGTTATCAACCAGCATGTTATGTTTATAAATTATTCAACTACTGTAAATACATTAGTTTATAATTTTGCGAATCCGCGTAATGTTTTACCAATAAAACGTATGTAAAAATATTGGAATAATTACCAGAATATAGTCTTGGTCGCCCAGCAAACTCAACAGGTTGCTTCACAAGTGTTTCACGAATGGACTCGATGCTGTTAACAACGACCACGTATCTGTTTCCAAGTTTTAATGTGTACACATCACCGTATACTTTACTGAAATCTGTTAAAACTTTCAAGGAAGACTTACCAAAGAAACCTAAATGGAAAAATGGAAAATAAAGCCTAGATTCCATACAAATTGCTACGGTGTTGCACAATGCGAAATTTTGTCCGATTTGATCGACCACGGGGTCGCCAAGCTGTGGCCGATTGTTTAGTGACAGGATAGAAAGATTAGCACAATTATTTTTACAAACAATTTCATGCAATGCAATACTAGTGCAACCAAAAAAAAATATTGTGTTCCCAGTCGTCCCCCTCCCATAAGCAAAAAATCACGCTCACGGTAGATAAAAAGGACATATCCTTTTTAGCGAGCTAGAGCCCCCACTTATTCACCGATCTCCACTTCACCTTTGTGTCCCCATTTCACCTTCGCCCCTTCCCCATCAGCCCTCATCAGCACACCCCCACCCCCAAACACCCTACCATTTAAAAGAGAACTAGCAAAATGATTTTTTTGTTCTAGAGAGGATTTTTGATATGCCATTAATAATAGAATCAACCTTAAAATCGTTTTTTGGCTTTTTTTTTTAATGAAGTTATAGGCGATTATATACGATTTTACCATGACGTCACTGGCGAAAAAGTAACAAAAGATCGTGTAAATAGCGCCGCGTAGGGTATCCGCCGCGTACGATCTTTGCGTGTATGCTGTAACCATGGCTGTAACTTGTGATTGTTACAGCATGCACGCAAAGATCGTACGCGGCGGATACCCTACGCGGCGGATACCCTACGCGGTGCTATTTACACGATCTTTTGTTACTTTTTCGCCAATGACGTCCCGGTAAAATCGTATATAATCGCCTAAAACTTCATTAAAAAAAAGCCAAAAAACGATTTTAAGGTTGATTCTATTATTAATGGCATATCTAAACTCCTCTCTAGAACAAAAAATCATGTTGCTAGTTCTCTTTTAAAGACTCCTAGATAATCCACTGACAATGGTTATGTGACTAAAACGTACGTCAACGCTTACTTGGTATATTTCCAATAAATGGCCAGGCTATTGGTCCTGGTGGCATGTTTTTAGGTCGCTGAATGCTCCAGGAAGACAAAATTATGAGCATAATTGTAACGAAGATCATAATGCTAGTGCCAGAGCCAATACCCTCAAAAAGCTGGACGATCATCTTATAATAAGAGTATTAATTTACACAGCATAAAGTATCTGTAAAGAAATTAAAAAAAAAAAACATCAAAGAAACACAATTTATAGGTGTAATTTTACCCTACCTGACGTGCAAATGTACTGAATACACAGTGCGTTTGAAAACAATTGCGAAAAAAAAACGCACTGTGTATGCAGTACATTTCCACGTCAGGTAGGGCAAAATTACACCTATACATATTTCTCCTGACGCAAAACCAGTTATTGTCTATTCCATCACGACAATAACAATCACTATCAACACTGCAGTACCCGCTGCTTACTTGGACTTGAATTCAACCCCGGCTATCAGGCGCAAGCTCGTTGGTCTAGAGGTATGATGCCAGGCTAGTGATCTGGAGATCGTGGGTTCGAGTCCCACCTGAGAACAGCTTGCGATTATTTTTCGCAATTGTTTTCAAACGTACTGTGTACTCAGTACATTTCCACGTCAGGTAGGGCAAAATTACACCTATACATGTTTCTCCTGACGCAAATCCAGTTATTGTCTATTCCATCACGACAATAACAATTACTATCAGAAACACAATTATTATTTAAAAAATATGAATATCATTATAACATACAGTATTGATTCGAATAAACACCACCTCCCCTTCCCCACCCACTTCGAATAAGCTCCACATCTAGAGCTTTATTTTGGAATAAACGCCTCCCTCGAATAAACGCTTGGCCGTTTACTTTTTCCTCAAAAGTCACAACTGAAAGCTCACCTGTTTCTTAATTAAATTTGTTATTATTATGATTGTTGTTATTATTATTGTCGTTATTATTATTTAAGTGCCCTATCTTGAAATCCCGGCCCCGAAACCTTGACTCAGAAATACCGGGTTGGTGTCCGGCGGGGGATAGTCTTTTACCATATTGTAGTTAAGTGAACATAGTTAAGGTCAATCTTGAAATTCCTGGCCCCGAAACCTTGACTCTGAAATACCGGGTTGGTGTCCGGCGGGGGATAGTTTTTTACCATAAATTAAATTAAATTAAATTAACTCAACTTAAATTAAGAATTGTAAAGCGCCTAGAGGGATCTGTGATATCTGTTAGGCGCTATATAAATATGGTATTATTATTATTATTATTAAATAAACGGCCACTCAATGACTGTAAATATTTCTAATGGAAGTAACATCATATCATTCTCAACACATTCTATTAATGTTCTACTCCAGTAGAATTACATTTTTTTTAACCCGGTTGGATTAAGTCTTTATGATCACGCAATAACAAATTTTGATGGTAATTTGTTGTAGTTCCACATTTACAGGGAAATTAAGGGGTGTTTGGCCTATACTTACATTTTACACAAAAAAACAAAAAAAAAAAACAATAATAATAATAATAATACAGTAATAATAATAATAATAATATAGAGCCTTCCTTGAATAAACTTCCCCTTAAGCTCTATGCATAAGCTACATTCACATTTTTATGTGAGAATTGTAGGCCTACGTGATTTGCCAATGGGATAATATGACATTGTCGTGCACAGTACACTACGTATACTGTGCACGATAATATGACATTGTCGTGCACAGTATACGTAGTGTACGTCAGTGGACAGAGCATTACATAGCAATGTCTTAAATAAACATTACGTATAAGGATGCAAAACTAATTATTCATCAACCCTTGATTTTCTGTCGGTGAAGAAACCAATCAGTATGCGGAGAACTCTGAACCCCACCCCTCCATTGGGTACGTGGATGCAGGTGGCGCCAGAAGGCTGGTTAATGGCACGTGACACGTTTCCTAGGCCTATTTTGTAAAAATCTGAACATATTCCTATGTAGGCTAGGGCCTACACAAAAAGAAATATGCCTACATTTTTGCATGATGAATGGGATGAAGAACATTAATAATGAACCATCCCTTAGTAAAATTGCAACGGGAGAGACAGGCTTTTTTTTTGGTCCAACGTGCTTGACCAGACCGATGGGGGGGGGGGGGGCCTTTAGGGCCCC